GTCGTTCATATATTTGAAGTAGGTATGAATGAAGACTATCATGAATTGGTGTGTGGATTGTATAAAGAGCATTAGACATAAGCAAATGTTTTCTGCAATGTTCATGAATGCTTATGAATATGATTTGAGCATTGGATTAAACCCACGCTCACTTGGATCACTCCATGAATTGTATCACGAGTGATTGGTGAGACGATAACATCTTATATTCTTGAAACCGAGATGTGTGAGTTGTATCTTGCAAATCGGTTGCACATTGATAATATGTAAACGCACTAGTAACTTGGTGTCATAAAATATATTGTGTGTGTGATTCGGTGAGTGAGTGCAAGCGAGCATTGAATCAAAGTTTATCCGTTCCTTTTATCCAAGTAGGATAAAAGCGATATCTTTGGGCCCCTCGATGATTTAGTGATGACAAACGTAAATGCTCGGCCGGGCTAGGGCTAATTTGATTTGTTCAATTAGTCAGTCGTCATAAATCGGAAGTCGAGAAATAGTACAAAGAGAATGATTTGAAATCATATCTCATACGATATCTAGAATGGAGGAATATATGATCCCTTATCTAAAGGACACGCGTAACTGATAGGATCAGAGTTGACAGCGGCTTTGGAAAGCTACGATTGCAGATCAGGATCTGAAGTCATACGCATAATAGTTATTAGACTTATCCAAGTGGGAGACTGTTGGATTAGTTTCTAAGTCCATAACTATTTTGGTATGTACTTGACCCGATGGTGCATGGTCCTTTTAGGTTGCCTTCACCAAAGCAACTTGATAGGATGAATTATGGAGAGAAAGGATTAAATATGATTTATTAATATATTATGAGAATAATATATTAAAGGAGAAATCATTTTGTTTAAATTAATATTAGTCAAGAGTTAATTGGTAATTAGTTTTGTGACTAAAAGAGATTAATTAAACTTAAGGGACTAGAATTGTAATTATAAGATAATTGCAATTTGGGCCATGGATTGCCTTATATTAAGGAGTGGACGAATTCTATGGGAAAGGAATCTATGGGTTGCTTAGGTCTTAAGCATCCAAATTAGGGTTTCCTTGTTAGATAACCCTAATAGCCTAACTATATATGCATCCCTTATGACACAAAAACGTAGCTAAGCATCCTTATAGGGTTTCACACGTTTTTGGGCAGCCTCCATCCTCTCTCCTCTTCATCCTCTTGCTCTTGGTGTTTGTGAACCATTAGAGGAGTGACATTTATGACTCTAAGCTTTCTAAAGTCAATACAAGGAGGAATTGAGTTTGTTATTGCTACATAACGATCAAGGTATGATCTTAAACCTATTCTCATGTTAATATGATTACTTGAATGCTAGAACTAGGGTTTATAGTCTTGGATAACTTGCATGTACAATAGAGAAACCTAGATCCAAGCATTAGGGTTTGTATGAGCACATAGGATGTTCTTATGACCAAAACCCATCAATTACGGCCGTAAACCCCCCAAGGAATGGTTCCTGGGCCGCAAACTCCTTTGTGGTGGTCAAATGGTGCCCTAACTTCCTTCCATGGCTTGTAGTTTGGACTAGAACCACTTGTGCTTAACCTAGGGACACCAAATCACATAAGGAAAGAGTACATGAGAGTTTACGGCCTTAAACTCCTAGTTTATAGCCGTAAACTCCTTGCAATGGTTCATTTGATGGTTTAATTCCTCCCAATGCCTTAGAACTGAACCTAGCATCACCCCGGAAGTGTTGTAAGACCATTTAGCAACCAAGAACCCACCACCCATGAGTTTACAGCCGTAAACTCATGGGGATATGGTCTTAGGGCCGTAATCTCCATTAGGAGTTTACTCTTGAAGAGCAAACTCCATATTTAGGCCATACACCCCCTTAGATGCTACCCGGATCACTCCTAACACTTGAAATAAAGTGTTTTCGTGCCTCGGAGTGTATATTCTTATCTAATTAGTAGTTCAAAGTCTAATTAGATACAATTGTGTATCTCTTCATATTACATAGGAACCTTGCATGTACTCAAGCCCCAAACGGACACTTAGCATCCTAGCCGACACATTTATCGTCCGGTAAGTTCATACCCCTACACCTTTTTCCTGTTTTTTCCAATGTTTTCAGGGGGGATACAAGCAAATCATAAAGGTTTTTGAAACTTAAAACTAATGTAATTATATGATTTCCTGGCAAACTTTAAATACTAAATCCCTTTTGTAATATGCGGAGCATAAGGGAGGTTTTCAGAATGTAATTACATAGCTTTCAAACAATATGGGAACTCATCAAATCATCCGATTTATAACTCATCTAATCATTTAAAATATTAAGGGAATAATTTGGGATCGACATATTTGGTTTTATGGATTCAAAAACTATGACTGATTTAGTTTATCCATGTTTAATCTACAGTATCTCGTTGAATAATTATCTCGTATTTGATCATTTATATTTTACCAAACTATTTCGAAACTCGAGAACGATCTATTTTTCCGTGAATTGGTAATACTAGCTTGTGAGATTCGTCTTCATTATTCACTACGGGGTATCAATAAATCCTCTCCGGAAGTATAACCAGAGTCTCCAGGAGGGAGAGCGTGAAATTTGTGGATAGATCTATTCAGGACTTACAATCCCACACCTTAACTACTAGCTACAGTTAGGCGAGCACGCCTGGGGTGACAAATTTAGGATTCTAGCGACGCCTGAAGAACGTCAAGGAGGTCACGGGTCAAATTAGTATGGTTATACGACTCACAATACGTATTAAATTAACAAATTTTATTCACGGATGTTTTTCTCTCTTCTATAGTTTATGTATTGAAACTAATGTACTTTCAAAGTTAATCAGGCTTTCAGAATAGTTCACTTGATAGTTACAAGTAGGGTAGATACTTGTATACTTCGTTTCGAATTGATAACAAACCACAAACATTTAAGGAAAATAAGGGTTTTTCCTGGGATCACGAAACTGTTCTTAACCAGATTGTGTAACAAACGAATAACTCAACTCTTCTTATAAGAAAATATAGGATTTTCTCTGGATAACAACTTTTTCAGAAAACCAAAAGAAACTTGTTCTTTTACTAAAACAAACTACTTATGAACTCTCCAGCTTTATGCTGATATTTTCAAAACTGCTTGTATTCTCAGGTCCACATTAGACAGGTACCCCGCGATCTTTTGGAGAAGATGGAGCGTTTTAGCAATCTCATCTTTACTTTTGGTCATTTCGAATGCGCATATCTATAATCACGTATAACTTTACTTTCAAACAAATGTAAATACTTCTATGTAATGTATTGGTTGTGTTTACTGTGCTTACAATGTACATTGGTTGTGATACTTTACATGATGTCCTCCGCCCCGGAACGTTTCCACCATCGGTTTCGGGGTGTGACAGTCATGTATATGCACCTTCTTATCATGTATATGCAAGTCACATATTTACAACCTTCTCTTGTACAATATGTCATTTACTAAAGACAGTGATCCAGTTACAAGGGTAAGTTTATCAGGATAAATTTGGTTTGTATGTTATATATCAAAAGGGTATTGATACGCATGGCCAACAAGGTCAATGTAGTTATTTTCATTTAATTATATTGATTATAAATATAAAAACCGATTATAAAATGTTAAAAAAATATTTGGGCCAAATGCGGTATTTTAAGGGTTAAGAAGTGTAACTGTGACATTTAGGTTTTAAGTTAGATAATTACGATATTTTGTTGTTTACCAAGGATATTTTAGTTATGTATTCTCTGTATTAATTATTGACACGGCGCCATCCATGTGTACTAATTGGCCTAACCTAGAGGTGTATAAACATCGGTATTGACCTTGTCACACGATCTAAGAAACGCTATGTTGAGAACTCATCTAGGCTTTACCTTATCTAGTAGAGTTTTGGTTGGTGTCTAGTCTGATCTAGTTAATCCATTTTTCTTTGTTAACGTCAATAAGTTATATATATTTATATAATCAATTTATAAACATTATTAACTTTTCAGGATTAAAAAAAAAAAAAAAAAAAAAAAAAAAAAAAAAAAAACTACAAAATGCATTGTTTTATTTATTAACAGAAAATTATCAGATGATGGTTATAAAAAAATCAATATAAAATTAGAAAATGACCGGTAGTGGAATTGCATTTTTAAAGTAAAAGATGGTTTTGGTTACACCTTTTTAAAGTGGAGTATCAAAGATCCTTTCACTATTGGGGTATGGTTGAGATATAAATCTCATGGATTTGACAAAAGGAAAAAAAAAAAAAAAAAAAAAAATGTGGCCAATCGGAACTGGTTCTAAAACATCTTAGTCAAGTCTCATTAAATCCGGGAGACCAATCTTATGTGAAAAACCCTGTCCGAAAAGCCTGGCTACACAAATATTTTAACCATCGATGAATCTCTTCACAAATATATCAATTTCTTTGAAGATGGCTTAGGGGTAGATCTGTCCTTGTTGGTCTTTAAACACATTTGTAATTTTAGGCAAATCCACGCCTTAGGCTCTTACATCTTTGCCATCTTTATTCTTCCTCCAAACAATCAAAACTTTTACCACTTAAGATCTTTTTTTTTTGTTGATTGGATTTTACTCAATCAATTAAAGGAAGTAGTATATGAAACTTGTTAGTTGAATCTTTTGATGTAAGACACTAATGGCCCAAGTTGCCTTTATACGTTGTTAGTTGATTCTTTTTACGTAAGACACTAATGGCCCAAATTGCCTTTTATAAAGGTTTCTTAACATAACCCACGTTCCGGAAATGGTTACCTTTTCTAAAAAAAAGATTCGACTTATAATCAATATTGTAAGACCTTACTTCATATCTTTTTGACGACATCACAACATTATTATATTTGATGTCCCAAATAAAATGAATGATTTAACATGACTTAATTGACATGATTTGCATGGACTTGAGTTCTTATAACCTCGTCACATTTTATATTAGATGTTTAAATCATTTATTCATTTTCATAGGCTCGTGTGTGTGTTATAGTGATGAGAGCACCATGGATCTCTTGTTTTTTCTTTGCCTTCTTTCTTGTTTTCTCATCCAACATTGTGTTTGGTAGTTGGACAAAACCAGGCTCAAATACTACACACCGCTTTATCCCTACTCCTACTGCTAATGGAAACGACACAAACATACACTATCCACCAGATACTCATCAACCCTTTCCTACTGCAGATCTTTCAACAACATGGACCAACGATGAATCTTCCATGCCTTCCATCAATTTCACAGACGATGGCTCAAAGATCAGAGTCATACTCGATCAAGACAGATTTGCATGTGGCTTCTTCTGTAATGGAAACTGCACATCTTACCTCTTTGTCGTTGTTATCAAGTTATTTTACACTCCGGATTATATATTTGGCACAAAAGGCAATCCGACAGTCATTTGGTCAGCCAACAGAGACTATCCGGTCAGCCAAGGGGCGACAGTGAATCTCACTGCAGCTGGAGAATTGGTGTTACAGGATGTTGATGGAAGCATAGTCTGGACTACAAATACTACCAGGAAATCTGTTTCTTCCATGAACCTAACTGATAACGGAAATTTGATGCTGCTTGATGCCAATAACTCCATCAGTTGGCAATCTTTTGATCACCCGACAGATTGTTTGGTAGCTGGGCAAAAGCTTTTTCAAGGACAGAAGCTCATACCTAGTGTTTCCTCAACCAATTGGACTGCTCAAAAAGGTTCTTACTATCTTCAACTCACTGATAGAGGTCTGTTTGCTTACGTTGAATCAAAACCACCTCAAGTCTATTACAAACACTTGATAAATAGCACAAATGCAATTAATAAAGAAAGCATTTATGTTGAGCTCTTAAATGGGAGTGTGTGTTTCTTCAACTCTTCCACTAAGTTTGATGCGATTGATATGCCTCAAGAATTCCCACTTGAATATATAAAACTAATGCCAGATGGGCATTTGAAAGCCTTTGGAGGCGAGAGAGTGGCTGATCTACTAATCGATTATGATTTTGGAGAGTGTTCTTATCCTTTGGTTTGTGGGAGAAATTCCATTTGCTCGGCTAATGTACAATGTAGTTGTCCGAAATCAAGCTCTCCCAGTACAGAATATTTTAGGGCAGTGGATGATAGCCAACCAAACAAGGGTTGCTCTCAAGTTACTCCTCTCACATGTAATTCTACCAAAGATCAACATTTCATTGAAGTGAAGAACATCAAGTACTTCACGTATACTGGTGACATGGTGAATGTGGATATGGAGACATGCAAACAAGCATGTATGAGCAACTGCTCATGCAAAGCAGCTATATTTGTGTATCAGAGTTCGAATTCTTCAAGTGGGTATTGTGATTTACCTTCCGATCTTTTTACCATGACGAAATTTGATGTGGATGTAAACAATCAACTCCATGCTTCAGCTTTTATAAAAGTCCAGAACAGAAGACATAAATCACCAAAGAGATTAAATCAGGTTGAGAAAGTTATTGGTTTCACAGTTGGAAGTTTGTTGCTTCTTCTTGTTGTGGTTGGTTTTACTATGTCCATAGTCAAAAAGAAAAAAATGGATAGTGAAATAGAAGAAGAGCATTTAGATCAAGTGACAGGAATGCCCACTCGGTTTTCATATAAAGAACTAAAAACTGCCACAGAGAATTTCAGTAAAAAGCTTGGTGAAGGAGGATTTGGATCAGTTTTCGAAGGAACTCTAGAAGATGGATCAAGGGTTGCAGTGAAATGTCTTCATAGTGTTGGTCTTATGCAAGTTAAGAAATCATTCTTGGCTGAGGTTGAGTCCATAGGCAGCATTCACCATGTGAATCTAGTTCGACTTAGAGGATTTTGTGCATGGAAATCAGAGAGACTTCTTGTCTATGATTTCATGAGTAACGGATCTTTAGACCAATGGATCTACTATGGAGACCGAAAGCATGTACTCAAGTGGGAATGTCGAAAGAAGATTATTCTTGATATTGCTAAAGGTTTAGCATATCTCCATGAAGAATGTCGGCAAAAAATCATTCATCTCGATATTAAACCTCAGAACATACTCTTGGACAAAGATTTCAATGCCAAAGTATCTGATTTTGGGTTGTCTAAGCTCATTGATAGAAATCAAAGCCAAGTGATAACCACAATGAGAGGAACCCCTGGCTATCTTGCTCCAGAATGGTTGAGCTCCATTATCACCGAAAAGGTGGATGTATACAGCTTTGGGATCGTTCTTTTGGAGATCTTATGTGGGAGGAAGAATTTTGATAGATCTCAACCAGAAGAATGTTGGCACTTACTGGATGTCTTTCAGAGATGTTGGGACCAAGGAGCATTGTTGGATATAGTTGATAGTTGCAGTGATGATATGCATGTACATGGTAATGAAGTCATGGAGATGATGAAAGTTGCTTCGTGGTGTTTGCAAACTGATTTTACGAAAAGGCCTTCAATGTCAACGGTGATTAAGGTGTTTGAGGGAGTAATGAATGTTGAATCGGACTTGGATTACAACTTCTTATATCCAAAGCAGCAGAAAGCAACAGATGAATATGAGAAGTACTCAATGCCATTGTTGCCATCTCTTCTATCAGGGCCCAGGTGATCTTGGAGTGAGGTTATATTTGGATCCTTTCTATTTATCCGTGTAATGTTTATGCCTTTTATTTCTTCAAGAACAATTATATATATATATATATATATATATATATATATATATATATATATATATATATATATATATATATATATATGTGGTTGTATTAGTCAAAGAGTTAGTAGTCGTAATCACTAGTTGATATTAATTTCTTTAATTATGATCATGCTAGAGCTTGGGCTTGGGTCGTTTGACTAGTATAAACTAGAATTTGATCAATTTGCATATAAAGAAAAAGAAAAGGAGGCACTTGTTAAACATTATATAAAACAGTTGGTGCCATGCTCACATATCGAACTCAATTGATGAGCTTACTTGACTTGGAGATACTCACATACAACCCATGTTTTGAAAACCGGACCGGACCGGCCGGTTCGACTGGTTCAACCGGGAACCGGTCCCGGATCCGGTTCTTAAATGCCAAAAAACCGGTATTCATTTGAACCGGTGAAAACCAGTAAAAACCGGTTGAACCGGTACAAACCGGTCCGGTTGAACAGGCAAAACCGGTCAAAACCGGAAATTTAAAAAAAAAAAAAAAAAAATTTTATTTTTTGTATTTTTTATATAATTAAATATAATTATAACATCATCCGGTTTTTCCGGTTTTTGAGACCGGTCTGACCGGTTGGACCATCTGAACCATCGAACTGGTAAAACGACCGGTTCGATCTCCGGTCCGGTTTTCAAAACATTGCATACAATAGCACATCGTCATATACAGATTATCTTTTTCCTGAACCAACCGCCGTAATTGCTACTACCAACACAGAACCTTAAGCTAATACTCACTACTCGATGCTTCTTCTCCAAGAGATAAAGTTTCCCAATTGTAAGGCTTTAGTAAGGATTTTGTCACTTGACACTTGTCCTTAGGTCATCTCCATTACACTAAACTCTAGTTAAATGGATTGTTATACATCATTTCAATCACTATACTATTTTATTAAACCGGTGAAAATCACCGTTGACAAAGTAAAATTAGGAGTGTGTATGGAACCGTTTGGTTTGTTACCGGGCCAAACCAAGCCATAACCACTACATTGATTAATGTATTTTCAGTAATTATTGATTATGGGTAGTAGTTTTGGTTAATGTTTAATATCAGTTGACCAGAATGATATAAAATTTGAAAGTTCATTGATATAGAAAAAGTAAAAAATGTGAAAGTAAGAAAGTACGTGGCTATATAAAGTGATAGTAATAAATTATGTTGCTATAAAAATAACTACCAATTTTATAATTGTACAACATTTAAATAAATATAGAGTTCCATTTTAAAAACAAAAAAGAAACAACACAATTAGTAACACGAGAAAGAAAACATTTGAGGACAAAAAAATACAATTTGAGGTACTATTTGAGTGTTTGTTTTGTTGAATTGTTTGATGCGGATCTCATTCAAGAATCAAGAGTGCCCTTCAATTCTTTTAGTTACTTATATACGGTTCAGTTTCATGGAAAAACCAAAACCGAACGATTAGCATTCGGTTATGAAAATCATAAACACCACCACCTTTTTCACCAATTGTTCGGTTTTAATGGTTTGGTTATATAGTTTATATTGGTTAGAGTTTGGTTTTTTGGTTATTATATACAGTCCTAACTAAAATAACATAGATTTTAAAAATATAAACATAATTTTGTCAGCGATAAAACAAGATTTCATAACTTTCAAAAATACCATGATTCATGAAAATGTTCTTTAAAAAAAATGATTAACGCACTATTAATAATTTGAAATCATAATGACTAATCAAATATTTGGAAAAAATATATATATTAATTTACAAAGATAGAAGTGTTAGTTTATAAATTTGTTCTAAAATAAATATATAAACCGTTATTAAAATACAATTTACGTTTTATAAGTTCATGCATTTTGATAAAATTATGAGTTTGTATGATGCAATCATGAGTTTATAAATTCATTTTGAAATAAATATGTAAAGCATATACTATATGGTTGTCAATTATTTACATATATAATAAAAAAAGATAGTGTTTAATAATGAATTTGAAAACACTTGTTTGTATATATTAATATATGTAATGTTGTTAAGTATATGATCCTTATATATAATTACTATAATATGCTTCCAAAATATCCAAATCAGACATAAAACTTTCGATGGGTTTGTTGAATTGGGTTTTGAAAAGAATATGGAATTTGGCAAAGGTGAGAATGTTTCAAGTTTAAATTTTAATGGGTAAATCTGAACATACTTTGTAAAACTGTCAATAAGAAAAAGATAGTATTTGTAGCCCGATTTTCTCGGGATTGGGGAGGTCCATAGATCACAATGAATAATATCAAACGATGATGTTAGGAAGTAAAGCGGATAACTAGAAAAGCTACAAGCGCATAAGACACAGTATTTGCATGGTTCGGTCAAGGTGACCTACATCCACGAGCAGGAGAAGAGTATTCTTTTATTTCAGCTCTCAAACACATGTTACAAGACAAAAATGATAGTGCAAGACAAAATGACCTAGCATATGCTTTGTAAATACTGTGTCTTGTGGATCCCTATTTATACTTGAGGATCAGACCTGGCATCAATGATAGTTTAAGATACAAAATGACCTAGCATGCATCCCTATTTATACTTGAGGGATCAGACCTAAGACCCTAATGGGCCAAGCCCATTGGCCCATAGGCCCATGAAAGGTGTCAACCAATCATAATCTGCAATGCAGCATCTTCTGGAACATTGTTAAGCATTATCAACTTCTAGGCATACTTGGATCAACATGGCACAACAAAGGAATCAATATGGCGCATCATGTACCAAGATGGTACATGGTGGCGCAACAACTTCTCCATGGCGCAACATCTCCATATGGCGCAACAAGGATTATGGATGGCATAATAGGAATCAAGAGTGGCGCAAAAACATCAAGCTTTGAGCAACAACATCACCATGGAGAAACAGGCACATCCATGGTGCAACAACAAGCCTTATGGCACAATAGTGGACATGATGGAACAAGAGGAGTGCCATGATGGTGCAAGAACAACACTCTTGGCCCATCCCTTTATCATATTGCGCAAAAGGATCCCTTGTTACTCCATATCACTCCCAAGTGCTCCAAACCCCCTTCTGTACGATTCGTTCCTTTGTCTGATGATCCATTCCTTTCTCAAGAGATTTGTTCCTTTGTCACATGCTCCATGAACCCTGAGTGCTCCATTGAGGTCTAAGTGCTCCAAATTCTCAATGAGCATGATCCAAATGCTTCAAAATCTCGAGTCATATTTAACATTCTCCACCTTGACTTAAGCATCCTCTGAACTCTACCTCGAATAAGAACTTCTTCTCCCATCCTGTTGTTCGTCCCCGAAGGGACCTACCTCCTGCGAACATCAACCATGTCCAAGCAAAGCTTGAACTTCTCCGTGGACGACAACTTTGTCAACATATCTGATGGGTTGACCTTGGTATAAATCTTTAGTATTGAAAACTTGTCTCCTTCTAGAATATCCCAAATGAAATTCAGCCTGACATCAATGTGCTTCATCTTCTTGTGATACATAGGGTTATTTGCAAGACAAACAACACTTTAACTGTCACAATACAAGATAGGCTTCTCCACCTTCAGACCAAGACTATGAATGAGCCCTTGAAACCATATCTCCTCCTTTATTCCTTCCGTTACATGTACTCGGATTTAGTTGTAGACAAAGCAACGGTATCTTGTAACGTTGACTTCCAACTGATGGCACATCCGAACAAAGTGCATATTTAGCATGTCTGTGACCTGCGCTTCAACAAGTCACCAACATAATCAGAGTCAGTATATCCCACCAAGTCACTCTTTGTATTTGCTCCATACATCAAGAAAACATCCGTTGTTCCCTTTAGGTATTATAATATCCACGTTACAGCTTCTCAATGAGTCTTCCTTGGATTACTCATAAACCTGCTAGCCACACTAACTGTATGAGCCAAATCAGGTTTGGTACAAACCATAGCACACATAAGACTTCCACAACACTTGAGTATGGAACCATGCTCATGTACTTCCTTTCTTCATTAGTAGTAGGTATATTGCTTGGAATAAGTTTAAAGTGAGCCGCCAAAGGAGTTCCAACTGATTTGGACTAATCACAATTGAAATATTACATAATTTTCTCAATGTACTTCTGTTGATAAATACACAACCCCATTCTCTTCTATCCCTTTGAATCTCCATCCTCAATATCATCTTTGCTGCTCCCAAATGTTTTTTTATAGAGACCGACTATTATTATATTTTTTTGTTTTTTCTTTTAGTCTATTATCAAATTGAAAGATATTATCTTGAATATAAACTATTGATATCGCATATAGAAATATGATTTAATTTGCAAGTTAAATAACACATTGAAACATTAATTCTCAATAAACAAATACAAACATAAGAATTTTATTTGCTTGAAAAAAAAATAAAAAATTACAAAAACTATAAATTATCAAAATTGTAATATACTCTAATATATTAATACATTTTACATTTTTCGAAAAAGGTCAATAAAAAAGTAAAAAAAAAAAAAAACACACACACAAAAAAAAACAAAAACAAATAATTGGAAAATAAATAATAAATAAATAAATAAAAAGATGAAAAAATTAAAAATATAATACGAAAAGAAAAATGAAAAAAAAAACTGTAATATACTCTATATATACACTAAAAAAATAGAAAACAAAAGGTAAAAAAAATCAAATTGTTGAAAAGTAAAAAAAAATGAAAATAAATAAGTGTATATAAAAAAAGAAAATAAAAATGTATGTATATATATATAACCCAAAAATAAATAAAGTATACAAAAAAACGAAAAATAAAGTTAAAAAATCATGTTGTGTATTTTTTTTACAAACCTCAGGAACTAAATTTGAACAATTTAGGACTGATTTTCCAAAAAAGTTAACCAAGTTAACTATGAAACTAGTTAAGTGGGCTAG